ATTTTGTGGCGCTCGTGTATGACCGGTTCGAACGTTTTCGTGCCACGTCGTCCCTTCCTCAGCAAGCGCCATAGTTTGTTTTGTACGTCAACAGTACAAACGTCTCGCGCCTTTTAAAATCGCCATCCGTACAATTATTATTTGCTCTCCTCATAGTCTTTTTGAATTTGTATATTATTGGCTTGCGTTCATTATAAGTTACTTTGCCACTCTCTACGACCTCCCCAAGCCATCAAGTCATCAGATAAGTTATTAATTTATTTTCATTTTGTCATTGTATCAAATCATAAGAGTAATCTTGGTTTAGTATGTAAGTTATCCCCTCTTTTCCCTTTAATTTTAAGAGTTTTATTACTTGCAGAACTGTAATATATAGATTCGTGTTTTGCACATTCATAAGAAGGTGTACCAATTTTTTCTTACCCCCTCTTATTTCCTTATTTTTTGGTTTTCTACAAATAAACAACACCATTGCACAGTCACGAGCAATCCCCCTTTAATATTAAGGGGTAGCTGGTCACATTTATATTTAATAAAAGTTTATATCTATTTTAATATTTTTAATAAAGTTCAGTTTAATTAATTTAACTTTATTTAATAAAAATTAATCTCATGAGGCTCATATTATTTAAAATTCATTTTATTACAGTTAAATTTTGTATAAATGTTATTTTTTTAGATTATTTTTAATATAAAAATTGCATAGGTGATTTGAAATATCTTTTAAAAAAATGGGGGGGCTGAATTAAAAAAAATTATTTATATAATAGTATATAATAGATAATAGTAGATAATAGTTTACTGATGGACTTTAACGGTATTCTTATTATTACGAAAATTAAATGCCGAGTACGGAGACACATTATGATTCATTGCTGAAAGTACAAAAATTAAAAAATATAATTTTACAATTATACTCAATAAAATTTAAAAAACATTAAATAAATCTACAAACTGATACAATATAAATTGTATTACATTTATGTAAAAAAAAAAGATTAATAAAAATTTTTTTTTATTTTCAAATATAGATTGAATAATTAATTCAAGGATTGTATCAACACTCAAACATAAATATTTGAAGATCCAATAAATAATTAAAAGGGATTGATTCATTAAATTTCTTATATAAAATTTTTTTAAATATTAATATTTGATAACTATGATTATATAATATTTAAAAAATAAGGTTCTTACTATAAATATTAAGTACTTTTTAAAGTATTTCATTTTTAAATAAAAACATTAGTACATTTTATCGTGAAACTGAATTATTTAAACCTTATAAAAACTCTCCAGAGCTTTAATAATCATGATTGTTATTATTTGAGGAAAATTTTTATTGAGAATCATAAAAGAGACTGTCCTATGAAATGTTGTAAAATGCTCAATACTGTGTATTACGACAATTACAATCTAATATTGTATTGCACATCTTATATACAAACAAAAATCTTTATAATCTATTAACTGCTTACAAACAAATAAATAATTTTTCTGTCATAAAATTTAAACATTAATTGTATAAATAATAAAAAGTTATAAAAGAAAAATAAGAAATCTTTATTAATTATAAATATCAAAATTAAATGTTTGTATCTGAAAAAATTAAGTTGGCACCCGTAAATGGCACAAGTGATGATATTATGATAGCTTTTAATTAAAAAAAAATATGTAGCTAGAAGTATAAAAAAAACGGTAGCACAGTGGGGTCGCGGCCCAGTATGGACGGTAGCATAGTTGGGACAAGTATAGATGATATCTGATAGTGATTAAAACCACTATCATAAGAACCGTTTCCAAGCAAATCTTTAGATTGTGTTTAATTTTAAGAAATTGGTAGATTATTTCAAAAGCAACAATAACTCTTATTCCCTTGATTTTATCCCGATTAGTTATTTGAGAATAATTTCAAAATAATTACCATTCGAACTAACCAATAATTTACTTACAAGGGGAGGTCACGGTGATGGGGTCACCGATTTTCATAAAATTTATATAGATCTAATCTATATTGAATACAGAATCAGACGTATTTGGAATTTTTTGCCAATACCCCCCCTAAGTCGAGAAAATTGACTTTGAAAATTTTTAATTAGCTTAAATGGGGTGATTTTTCTTCCGGTTAACAACTCGTGTTATGGTCCAGTGGACTATACTTGATCCCACAACACGTACAGGCTCGGGACAAGTCTCAGCGACTGACAAAATTTTTTGCTTTTTTTTTTCACTGTTTTCTCTTTAAATTATTAATTTTACGTAATATTTGTTAAATTTTTGTATACATTTTATTTATCTATATTGTTTTATTTGCATTCAAAGCACATTTTGATGGTACAAATTATCGATTGTCCAATGGTAAAACTATGATTAAAGTAAACTAAACTTTTATACACATAAATATAACTTTTACTATTAACCAGGTAAGAGTATATGTATAAAGAGATGATTATGAGGATTTAAACATATATAAAATCATTATATATTTTAATTTAACCTATTGTAATTTTCAAAAAACTGTATGTTTGTTATATGACAAAAGTCATAGTCAATTGAATAAATAATAATTTATAATTATATTTTTTATTATTATTAATTTTGATTATTAAATAGTAATTAAAAAATAATAATGTAAGAGTTTTAAATACACGTAAATATTAATCAATAAATATAATTCAATTCAAATGAATAAATTTTATTTAATGAAAAAAAAAAATGATTAACTTTACTCCTTCATAAAATATGAACTACACGCAAAACCTAGCACTGAACGTTAAACCTTTCAAAAATCTCTTTCCTTTATAATTTATATACTCTTACTCGGTTAATATAAAAATATATTTTATTTATTACTATAAAAAATT